AAAGGACCACAGAATGTTTTTTTCTTTCACAGTTTTTCCTTGTTTTGCTTCCGGAAAGTGAAAAGACGTCCACATTACGTGCAAAGTCCTTGTCCGTACATCTCCAGGCCCTCCTACGCAATGAGCAGCCAGAACATGATCACCAGGGCCACGAACAGGAAGAGCCGGGACAGGAACTGCTCGTCCATATACTGTGGCGTCCCAGGGACAGCTTGACATGGAGAAACAGAAATAAGACTACAAGGCAGAGCAGGGAGGTACCGATTCCATATAGAATCGATTATACAAAGATAAACAGGACAATACAAAAACTTGCAAAAAGCAACTGTTGTTCTGCTGTCTGGTTTACTGAAAAACAAAAACATCTTAAAGATATAACAAAGCACTTTGTTGCTGGTATATTCATATATTAGTAAAATGGAAACACTGCTCTGCTTATATGCTCTATTCCATTTAATGTTTACCACAGTATTCATCAGCAAAAGGATTACATTTCAGAGGCATTATTGTTTTCTTGTCCCATATCTTTAGCACTTATTAAAATTATTCGCTACTCTCAAGAGCACAGCATGTGGCAACAGTGAACGGGTACAGAGTTAACTGATTACCTGGTGGTGGTCTCCCGTCGTTGATGTTAAACGCTGTTGCAAAAATACCGAACGGAAAGGCTCCGATCCCAAAAGACATTTGAAATCCTCCATCTCCAAACCCAAACCCCTGGAAACCCTAGGAAACAACCAGGAGTAACATTCAGGAAAAAAAAGAATATTGTAAAATAATTTCCAAGTCTCCAAGACAAACAGACTCACTATTAAATTACAGAGATGGCACAGATGAATATAAACTGAACCTGTAATCTAAACCCCAGTAAAGACTTATACACAATACGCCTTCTATTCATTAGAAATGAAGGCTCTCATGGTTTAAGAGTAAAACATGAATCACAGCACAATGAAAATCTTTGAATTAGGTCTTCTAACCATTACATAAAAAGGGAATTTCTGATGAACCACATGTTCCTGATCAGGGTTGGCACCTATTAACGATTTTAAAATAAAGAACAGAAACTGTCTAAGATAAGATATCTTAAGATATCCCCCCAGGCTTAAATTAAGCAACTCATTTTGTCATTTTACTCATTTTGTAAAACAAACAATGCACATTAATACCTTAGGTTAAACTCTTTTTGCTCTTCAACTGTTACATAGATAAAGAGCATTTTTTTCTCCCTGTATTGAAAGAAATATAAAATATTCAAGACAAAAAGATTGTTAGGATATAAAGTTAAAGGGGTAGAATTAAAATCAAGGTAAATCATGTTAGAATTCTATAATGTACTAGTAAGAGCTCCCCAAGAACGCCATGCACCATTTGGGATGTCAAACTACAGAAACAGATATTGCTCCTCTGGAATCAGTACAGGGAGAAGTAACTGTATGTGTTCCTGGGCTTAGCAGAATGTCCTACACTGACAGAATAAAGTTCTGCACGACTCTCCTCTTTAACACAGAAAACGTCACGGGGACCCAATTCAAAATCCTCAAAGGCACTGCAAAAGTCAAATCGCAACAATCCAGAGGACACAAGTCTAAAGCATGGGCAGATGTAGTTTTTGTACACAAAGGTTACTGAGAGATAGAAACGAGCTCCCCAGCCACACTGTTAAAGCCGACATCTCGGGTTCTTTCAAGAAATGACTGGATCCACATGAGATCCACAATCGCTACTACCAACCAAACAGGCGAAAAGCTAGTCCTCCTCTCCTAACCCTCCTTTCGCTTTCATGGTCATAACGGGAAATTTCAAATCCAGATACCGAACAAAGCAAGATCTTTTATTATAGGATGAAGAAGACTGACTGATGGCCCACGGGGAAAGAATATACGTATGATGCAACACGAGAAAGAATGCTGGAGGCTCTCTCCTGCGACACTAAACAAGGCCCTTCCACTGGGGCCATAAGATATGTTTCATAAGTCCCTCTTGGATAGCTCTTTTCTTAATGAATAATGTGTGGCGTGACTTTCTTGCAGGCACTCTGATCCATGCAATTGTTTCATCAGATGAAGCATGTGCAATAAAGAGGCTTGATTACAAATAAGCACACTATTACCAAGCTAAAAAAAAAAAAAAATTACTTTATACTTTGCCAATTTACACACATACTAATAGACAACTGGAGCCAGATATCAAGACTAATCTTTTTAGGATTGTTTTCTCTTTTGAACATGCTTTGTTTATCGTCTTTGTAATCTTAATTGGATCCATTGTGAAATGTGCTTTTTATGAATTGGGAAGTGCTTCGAGATTGTTGCTTTTCAAGATGAGATAAAGAGTGCATTATAATCCGCGAGACGCTTGGTGGAAGATGCTTTTAGAGACAACATCTCCACACAACCAGACTGAGCTCCTGAAGGGGAGACAAGGGCGGTGCCCCACTTACTCCTCGATTTTCCGGTTCAGGTCTCTGTCCTTGGGGTCTTGGAGGGGTCCTCTCTCTATTTGGCAAAAGCAGAAACGCAAATAAGCAAGTGAGAAGTAAAACATCACAACAATATGGCCTTTTTCCTCATTCGAACAAGAAAACACTCTGAAAGGATGGAGACCAGTGTAAATAAACCTTGGGTTTTTGCATCTCGCCATTTTGCATACCTTGGGTCCTGCTGTCCTGTGCTTCCTCTGCCATACAGTGGGATCACTTTATCACGGCTAATTCCTGCTTTGCACACCGGGCACACCTGCCTGTTTGGCCTGGTCTCTAACCACTGCAGGAGAGAAATAAAAAGCTATTACATTGCTAACAAAAACTCCCTGAAGTACCACTTTTGTTTGGTCAGGTCAGTACCTGATCACACAGTTGGTTCATTTGAATGTCAAAATTCGTTTAAAACAGCCAGGCAGAATTATTTAATGTTTTAGAAGAAACTGATTTGCTGAAAACTATAATCTTTTTAAATACTTGATTAAAAAAAACACAGACGCTGACTTGCGAGGGCTTATAATGTGTACAAAAATTAGCCTTCAAAATTCATCTGAGAAAAAGAAATTCAAGTCTTTAAGCAAAGGGTAGCAGATCTATAAATTCTCACTTACAGAGATTTAGTCACACTGATTTTTGCAACTTTAAATTAATGCACATAACTGAGTATCACTAACATCCAGAAAACATGTAAAACTATTAGAGCAAGCAACAGGAAGAACATGAAGCACATACTTCCTTCAGATGAACATGCAGAGGAGATGAGAAACAGACATGCAGTTACTAAGATACAGTTCCTTGTAAATGTTGCATTTTTGCAAATGTAGATTGATGATCCTAAAGCAAAAGTCTGACACTCCAAACACTTTGCTGAACACCAACCCTCACTGGGGCTTTATGTAAGAAAAGCTGATGAAACTGAATGAAAACTACAGGCATTTCTCACCTGATGCAAGCAGGGCCAGCTGAGAGCATTCCCATGGGAGCGCAGAGTAACAGTAAGGTAAAGGGGGAAAAAAAAACAGCGAGTTAATTTCCTACCAATTTCCAACCAAAACAATGAATTACATGGACGCTTTATACAAGTGTCACTGCTTCCCTGCTGATACCCATTAGTAGCAAAAGAAACATGCTTAAAATACAACAGCCACATGGTTGATGGGAGTTTCTGGAAGTGATCTTTTTAATAATAATAATAATAATGTTTCTTTATTAGCCCCATACAATTTCTTGCATTAGGAAATCTTCTTTTCGCATACCCCAGCTTTTCTCCAAGGAGACACAGACACACAGACAGGGAGAGAAGCTTGGGGTCAGAGCGCAGGGTCAGCCATTGTACGGCGCCCCTGAAGCAGTTGGGGTGAAGGGCCTTGCTCAGGAGTAGCAGGAGTAGGATTCCTCTGCCGGCCACGGGATTTGAACCGGCAACCTTCCAGTCACAGGCGCAGATCCTTAGCCACAGAGCCACGGCTCCGCCCATCTTGACCATCATGCCTTGAAAGCTTTCTTCTAGACATTATCAGCAAAGAAGAAAGCCCACAACTAACTAATCTGCTGTCACGACAATTTCTAACGTGTAGCTCACCCTGTGCTTACAACAGAATAGCCCATGCCAATAATTCTAAATGTGCCTCTTCATTCACAAATTGACACAGGACCACACCTGTCCCACCCCCACATCGCACTGACACCCCTGTCTGCGGCTCTGCCCCACCCCCCCCCCCGTTAGCACATGGAATTCTGGGAAACAGGTACACGGATCCACGCACACACACCAGAACAGGTGTCCACAGAGACTGATGACCGCGTCCTTGGCTGTGTCCAGGCAGATGTTGCACTCAAACGTGCTGTCCTGGTTACTCCCCTCTCCGGTGGTGCAGCCGGTGCTGGCACTGTCCGTGGAGCCAGAGGCCGTAGGGCCCGCGCTGGCCATCTCCGGCTGTAGTCAAGGGAACGGCGGACAGGAAAAGCTAGCCCTCTGTTGCTGGCTCCTAGAGAAAGCACAGGACAGCTTTTGAGATCTGTTACAAGTATACCGCGAGGCACTGAAAACACAACAAATGCTGCTTCTTCCAACACTCATTTGTTGCACTTTATTGCCTTTTAGTATATTTATCCACAGAGCTTAATAAGAATTCCTTGTATCTATATAGCAATTTTCATTATAAAGTACATCAAAGCGCTTATTAACACAGAGGAAGATGGCTAATATTCAGGACAATGAACTGCAAAGAACAGTGCACAAATATAAGATGCAGTGTCAGAAAACTGGTTAATACAGTAGCTGAACAACTAAACAGTGGACAGAAAATGACTACAATACCAGGACGAATCGTAGCCATGTCAAATCATTTTACAAGGAAGGGCTTCTGCACTTAGGAGAGAGATAGGTAGGTTATTTCAAAACACCATGTTCGCGTCCGAATACTGACACCGTCACAAGTGCAAAACAAAATCCAAGACATCTTTAAAAAAAGATCATACTATTAATTAATAACAGCGAGGAAAACCAGGAGACAGTTGTGATTTCACTGAAACCTTAACTGGAAGAAAAGTTAGTCAAATATTAATGCTTCATCTCTGAATTCCAGCCATGTTAGCATACATTGTATTTAAAAAAAAAAATACCGTTATTGTAGAGATCTTAGCTATTTAATTCGGAGTATTCTTATATCCGAATTATGTTTATTATATCGATCAAATCCACAAAGTAGTTCAGCAAGTACACTCCAGACAACGACTGCCGGATGTAGTTATTTCTCGTGGAAACCGTGGAAAAATGCTGTCCTTTCAGAATCGGAGGTCCCTTCGTGAAAAGGTGAGTTAGGTGATCGTGTACACCAAGAATAAAAGTCTCTCAACATAACAAAGCATATCAAGTCTCAGCTTGCTCCGCAAATCCCGAGTACTTACTGGACGATTATCTAGACCAGAGCCACCCGTCCAGATTTAGTAACAGCCTGGTGACACCGTCACGAACAGGATCGCACCGACTGGGTCTGAAGGAAAACCCTGACCCCGCACCAGGGGCCAATGGCAAGGAGACAGGTTATCACTGACCCAGGTGCTGCAACAGACCCGCAATACCCCCCCCGCCGCCTCACTGCAACAGTTAGATCCGTGTTTCAGGTGAACAGCTCAGCAAATCGTGTCCCACAGAAGCTCAGAAGCATGGTGTAAAGCCCTTGTCGACAACCCGAGCGCGACCCCAGCCGGAGCGACAGACGGCGACAGGCGCAGGGCGACGAGTCCCGGAGGGCCTCACGCAACCCCGGCGCAAAACTGACTCACGCAAAGACGCACGACTGGCGACACAATAGTGCACTCTTACACGAAACCGGTGTCAAAGCCAACTCCCCGTCGTGGGCTTGTGCTAGGACACGGGTCAGGGCCGTTTCATTCTTGTATGCGTCAACGACGTCGGGTTATAAGCAGTGCCGGAGGTACTCGGGGAATGTCTTGGAAGACAACCCCCCCCCCCGTGTTTTCACTACTTGTCGTGGCTCAGATCGGCTCGGCGTCCGCGCCGATCGCCCCGAAAACAACAAAACCGTCACGGCACACCGCCTGACCTCTCCTCGGTTTCTCGAGTTTTCCTCTCGCTGCTGCTGCTGCTGCTCCTGGGTCCGTCCGTCTGTCTGGTTGGATCCCCTGCTGCCCCGACTCCGACAGCACCCGGAAGCACACGCGCAGGAACGCGACAGCGTGACCCGAGCGAGAGCCGCGAGCCGCGCCGGGACGGACTCGATCTATTTATCGCGTCCCTGGCAAGGAGGGCCGCCGTAGAGAAAACCGACAGACTCAAACGAAACACGTCTGAGGTGTAGCCGAACTATCTGGCGCCGCATTTCTGTTTCCGCCCACTTTAAGAGACGCCGCGGCATGCATTTCGTTTCTTGGGCGAGCCTGTTTCGGGGCCCACTATTGCCAAAAAAACATCCGTCATCATATATTAAGGCTTGTAAGACCCCTGTCTTTACCAAGCAAGCACCGTGTATTGTGGGTCTGATGGTTAAACGAGAGGCCAAGACCCGTGTTGGTTCGGGTTTTGTCTGAAAAGGCGAGAGCAGTGCCCCCTGGCGGTGTCTCGGCGGTTTTACTGGTGAAGCCGATGCCAGGTGAAGAGTGGAGACGCGGGCACGTCGTGTTAACAAGAAGGGGCAAAAGCTAAACACGCGTTTTAGATTGTCCTCACGGACGCGGAATATTCTCAATCTAAAATACAGAACTTTTATAACAGAGAATGGGACGCGTCCGTTTTTATACGGTGGGAGAAAACAAGAGCCAAAAAAGGTCATGTCAGAAGTGGGATTCGAACCCACGCCTCCATTCGGAGACCAGAATACCCGCCCGGGGAAGGAGTCGCTCCTTGAGTCTGGCGCCTTAGACCACTCGGCCATCCTGACACTGACGCTCTCTGCCTCTAAACATGGTTATATGTTTCCATCTGTCCTGTAAATTAATGTACATTCATTTGCGATTAATCGCGCAATGCGTTACATTCACTTCTGCAAATTAATCGATTTACATGTTGCAGGACAGCTGTTTGTCTGGTAAAGAATGAGACATTAAAACGTAACGCAGTAATTACTTAAACCCGTAAAAAATGGATGCATTACATTTTGTAATGTTAATTTTCGTTATTTTTCATTTTTAACAGCTCGATTCAAGTATTAATGTGTCAACGCACGGACGAAAGTTAATGATGTACAGGTAGAACCATCATTTTTTGTAATAGTTGCAGAACATTTCTTATGGAGTTAATTTTTTATTTAAAATAAAAAATCCAAATATTCATATTTTCTCCAAAAATAACAACAACAACAACAACAACAACAAAATGTAATTTGTTGTTCTGGCACAACATTTCACTATTTAGAAATGACCACAAGAGAGTGCTCTTGTGATCCTTTCTTGTGACAGATCAGAGAACACAATCAGAACCACCACAACCACCACCATAATAATAATAATAATAATCGAGTGGAATGGGTCAAAAAGAGGCCATGCATCTTTCACGATTTAAACTGGAAAGGAAGATGAATAAACAAGCAAAAATAAACGCAGTAAATTATTACACGGTCTTGCACAAGGATTTCATGGCAACGTCCGTGCGTCCCCTGCTCACATTTTGCATTGACAGCTTTTGATGATCCAGGAATGGAAAATTAACTTTCACCCTACTGTGAAGCAGTGTCCAGTTGACTTCCCGGAGCATGGCGATTATGTAACAGATAAACAGAAGCTCTGCTCCTTCCCAGAGAAATTGCTGGTCCGACCCGAACACATGCCAAGCCTCCGCACCTCCATTATTCATCAAGGGAGCTAGTTGACGAATGTCCGGGATGCAGTATTCAGAAGGTTAGATCCATTTTCAATACAGCACGTAAATAACTTATGACAAGCCATGGCGATCCTATTGTTCATTCACACCGTATACACCTTATACTCCTTACATCGGCGGGAGTCAAACATCACCTCCCCCTTCTGTCTCGATGCCAGGCGTGACTAAAACAATGTGTGCCTGCACTACAATGAGGTGTGAGGAATGTTATACAGCTGTGCAGGCCTGACGGCTGTCAGGGTGGTTAATACAGCTCATGGATCTTGCTGTGCCCTGTTTTTATCAGGTGCTCTGAAGCTCCCCCAAACAAATACAATAGATTTTTAGGTTTTACTCTAAATAATTATTTGAAAGGGGACTTCAGACTAGAGTTGGTTGCGATTTTGTCCCTCTACAGTCAGTACTATTAATATGAGACTATGAAGAAACAGAACCAAATGAGTTTAGTGGGCTTAATGGCCTGCTCTCATTTGTGGGCTTGATAATGTTCTGATGGACACATGAATTCAGACATGACTGGTACCTGTTGTCTTCTGCCTCAGAAACCTTCCATCAAAGCATCTTTCTGTCTAAAACATGTTCACTTATTTATCATGCTTATGCCCCTATGAAACCAAGGAGATCAGGAACAAAACCAATTTTTTTCTGGTTTGTCCCAGATTCTGGGTACTAAGTACCCACAAAAAGGATGAAAAGATCACATTGTCCTGATATAGTTCCAGCAGCTGGCTGCGTCAGCATGCATAGGCTGCAAAGGAACAAGTAAAAGTTTATTACATTCTGAAAAGAGAAGAAAGGAAACACAACGTTTCGGCTGTGGAGCCTTCATCGTTATAACAATGTTCCTTTATATTGTCCTGATATATGAATTTGATCCCCTATTTTCTTTATATCTGCAGGGTCCTCTTCATTTTTGCAAAACGCGGGGCGTTCTTTTTAACTTGTCTGGATTATTATTAATCATTGTTTGCAGCAGTTATGTTTTAACGGTTTCCTGATATTTTCATGTTCTGCATTCCGCACAGCGTGGTCCATGACTCAGCAGGAGTCTGTCTGAAATTAAATGAACAAGAACCTGCGTAAAGTTTTTGGGTGTCAATGATACGGGGGAATGTTTTAAATCACGTTCTGGACTTTAGAGATTTCTGGAAATAAAATAATCACATTTAAGTATAATTGTGACTTTATTTCATGAATTAATGGACTGGTCTGGCTGTGGTGGTACTACGGATTCTGTTTGGTGCTCCATTTCCCAACCAAAAGAAAGAATTCAAAGGACCCTTATCTTATTTGCCCATGCAGGGTTGGTTATGTTAGAAACCACATAATAAACCAGGTAAGGAACTGTATCTCCTGCCTTCCCTCATGTTTTACTTTCTCAAAGGAAAACATATCTTATTAGAAGCACAAGAATGACTCGGCATTCCTGGTAAAGGCTATGGCTTCAAGCTGTGTTGGAAGTAACACCAATTCATATTTGTGAAAAACCGTTCTGACATTTTTCTGAAAAAAAAAAGAGTTTAATATAATGGTGGTTATTCTTTTGATTACAAATGAGGTGTAACTGTGTTCCATTGAAGCCTTGAAGTCGTTTATAACAATTGCCTGTTTACCTGAATGCTGAGCTACAAAAACCTGTCTGCATAGAAAGCTGCAAAATGTCAGATTGTGTTTGGAAAATCATCCATCCATTTATAGTAAAAATGTTATCCTTAGAGGGGTGTAGTGAGTTAATGGCTAACCTACTGTAGCTCATTATTCACCTTTTCCGTAGCGGAAAATGTGTCAATCTATGTCACATATTTGCAGAATAGCAATGGTTAATTGTTGTTTGGACTCCCATCCTGATCCTGCATTTCTTTTATTTCTGTATCCTGTGGTTTTAGAAACATCCAATCATGAGAAAAATGAGATCTTAGGTTTTGTAGTTTACATATGTTTAAATATATAAAGCCAAAACACTTCTTCAGTATTGTTGCCCCAGAAATGTTTTTTTTTGCACCCCTGCTTTTAATGTTGAACTAACGTAAATGACCTATTCTTGCTTATCATGGTAAAAAAACATGGGCAGTGTCCATTTGGATACACTCACCTCTGGCATTAAGCCGCAAGAATGCAGTCCATCAAGACATACTGGAAGTATTCCTAGTTTCTATGCAAATAACACTGCAGACATCAAGAGCACTGAGAGCACTACATTGGCTTAAAGAGACTTTAGCTTATTTTCCCCAGCCATATAGTTAGGGTCCCAATTGTATTTATAGAGTATTCTAATGATCTATAATTCTATTATTTAGCCTCAATGGCTCCCCCTGCCTTTCCCTGTTTGACCTGGAACTTTTTGAAGCTTTAAAAACGTTTTCACTAGGACGCAAGAGCCGCAGTGCTGATGAACTGTAAACTCTTTTTTCAGTCCAAAACTAAAAAAAAAAAACAGACTGAGAACTGAAGGGAAAAGTAGGGAGCTGTTCTCAGTTACTAAGATTGACTGCAAAAAATAGATGTAAAAACTCATTTATGTTACTAAAATTAGTGTACGGTATTAACAAAAACTCTCGTATCACCTTACAATGATTTTAAATATATCATAAACGTCACGGGATTTGTAATAGGGTTGTTTTTCTTCCATCTAGAAACACGTGTTCTTGTTAGGACAGTAGATCTGTGAAAATTATGTTACTTTTCTATATTTTTTCTTTTTTGTTTCCTCCTCTCCTTCAGAATAAAACGAAATAATACAATGTTACGGAAAGTTGTTACAGTTGCTGACAGTGAAGTGATTTCTGTGCCCAACAAGGGTCTCAGTGTCTGGCCATGGACATTTCTCCAACACGCAGGGGGCTCTTCTTCACTTGTCCGGATTATTACGATGAATCGTTGTTTGCAGCACTTATGCTTTAACGGTTTCCCGACATTTTCATGTTCTGCTTTCCGCACAGCGTGGTCCATGACTCAGCAGGAGTCTGTCTGGCAGCCCCAAACTCCAAGTCTGCTGCCATATACTGCAAGTCACGTTACCGTCGCAAGAGGATGGGCTTAAACTGTATGGCCATGCCGCTTTCATGAAAAAAAGAGAGTGCGGTATATGTCACACAGGAAGCAACAAAGCTAACGTCAGGGTTATACAAGTTGAAGGATACGTATTCAGGTGCGGTTACACAATGTAATGGGACCGTTTCAATGCTTTTTAAGTACATAGTGATACATTTTTGCCCTGTTGTGTAGCTAT